TGATTTAAAACTCCATCTTCAGGACTGGGTAGTAGAGCACTTGACATTTGTGAGCCCTTGGGTTCTATTGCCTGCCCCAGGTTTGTGGGTGGGGAGTACTTTCCAGCTGCAGACCAGTAACACTCTACAAAGAAAACTGCAAATTCAGACATTCAGATTGTCTCCTGTAAATAAGCTGTGTGAGTCAGAGTTCTCAAGAAGAACATAACCAATGGGATGTGATTTGTGTGTACACATACATGTACACCATCTCAGTGTTCTATGACTGTGAAGAGACGCCATGACCAAGGCAACATTTACAAGAAAGCATTTAATTAGGGGCTTGCTTACAGCTTCAAGGGGCTAGTCCATTATCATCATGGTTGGGAGTGGAAAGGCAGGCAGGCAGACATGGTGATGGAGAAGTAGCTGAGAGCTACATCTTAACCAGTAGGCAAAAGGTAGAGAGTGACACTGGGCCTGGCATGGGCTTTTGAAACCTCAAAGCCCACCCCTCCTCCAACAAAGCCACATCTTATAATCTTTCCCAAACAATTCCACTAACTGGGGACCAAGCAGTCAAACAAATGAGCCTATGGGGACCATTCTCTTTCAAACTACCATATTCTGCTCCCTGACACCCTCATAGGCTTATAGTCATATCATAATGCAAAATGCATTTAGTCCAAGTTCAAAAGTCTCCATAGTCTATCAGTCTCAACATGTTTTAAGGTCCAAAGTCTCTTCTGAGACTCAAGGCAATCTCTTAACTGTAATTCCCTGTAAAAATCAAAAAGCAAATTACATACTTCCAACATACAATGGCACAGAATATATATTACCATTTCAAAGGGGAGGAAAGGGGGGGTAGAGTGAGGAAATACTGGACCAAAGCAAGACTGAAACCCAGCTGGGCAAACTCCAAATTCTGCCTCTTCATGGCTGATGTCAAAATGCTCTTCAGATTTCCAACTCCTTCCAGTTCCACTGACTACATCACACTTCTCTCTTGGGCTGGTTCCACTCCCTGTTTGCAGCTTTCCTTGGCAGGTATCCCACGGCTCTGGCATCTCCAACATCTTGGAGTCTCCAGTGTAATCCAGACCTTACCTTCACAGCTTCACACAATCACCTCTTGGGGCACCCCTGCCCCACAGCTGGCCTCTGCAGCTTTCTCTAGCCACAGAGGAAGGTTCCACATCCCCCTTCCTGTATATTCCTTGATAAAGCTTTGTGGTCAAAGCTGCCAAGTTCAGCTTACTGGTGCTGCAAACTTCCCCCAACCCTTGGATTTTCATTTGCATGAGCCTTCTATGGCTGTTTAAGTCTAGAAAATCCTTCAGGCCTTTTCTTACACAGGTTGCAGGATTAACTGGATGGGTTCTGCCCTGAGGTTGCCACTCCATCTATTCCATTTTGAAGCAAGCCTTTCTTTAAACTCCTTGGCTCTGGCACTACATTTCCTGGTGTTCTCTTCCTCCTCAAACTGTACACTTTGTGTTTCTCCTTGCCTGCTCACTCTTTTTCATTGTAGATGGTATAAGAGTAGTCACTGGTTAGCACATGATACAGTCAATACTAGACTGTCTTGAAATCTCCTCTGCCAAGGGCATTAATATAAAACTCTTCAACTATGCTCAGGAAGCTTTTTAAAACAAGGACAAAAAGCAGCCACATTCTTTGCCAAGATATCACAAGAATGCTCTCTGTGCCACTTGCTAATATTTCTCCCCCTCAGGACCCTGTTGAGATGGGCCTTCATAATCCACATCATACTCAGCACTAATGTCCTCCATGCTCCTACTAGGATGGTCCATTAAGCCATGCTTAAAGCATTCAACTGCTTGTCCAAAGTTGTCCATATTCCTCCAACAAACAGCACAGTCAGGCTTCTCACAGCAATACCCACTCCTGGTACCAGCTGCTGTCTTATTGCTGTGAGGAGACACCATGACTAAGGCAACTTATACAACAAAGCCTTTAATTGGGAACTTGCCTATAGCTTCATTATCATCATGGTGTGAATGGGATGGCAGGTGGGCAGGCCTGATACTGAAGAAGTAGCTGAGAACTTTATATTCTGATTCACAGGCATCAGGTAGAGAGAGACTTGGCTTGACATGGGCTTTTGAAACTTCAAATCCCACCCCACCCCATCCCCAGTGACACACTTTCTCCAACAAAGCCACGCCTACCCCAGCAAGGACATACCTCCTAATCCTTCCCAAAAAGTTTCACTAACTGGGGACCTAACATTCAAATATATGAGTCTGGGGGGAGGAGGATTATCATTCAAACGAATAGATAGATAGATAGATAGATAGATAGATAGATAGATAGATAGATAGATGATACGAAGAGACAGACAAATAGATAAATGACAGAATAATTTAGTAGGTCAGTTTTAGGTGGAAACAACAGCAGGATAACAGCTAAGAGCTAAGAACCCAATAGTTACTCAGTCCTTGAGGCTGGCGCCTCAGCAGTAGGAGTCCCACAATGGTTGGTTCTCATTGATGCTGGTAGTTTCTCAGCCCACAAGGCTGGGTACCTCAGCAGGCCCTATGCCCAATCTGGGGCTGGAAGCCTAGAAGGTTCCTGGGGAGATGTTAGTTCTTAGTCCACAATGAAAACCTGGAAATGCTGGTTCTGCTGTCCATGATGGAACTAGCAGCAGCAGCAACAACAATGGGCAAATCCATTCAGCCACAAGAGGGAGGTCAAGTGAGCAGACAGCAGGTGATCTCCCTTTTACTACGCCCTTTTTATCTACACTGCTGCCGAAAGGTACCACCCACAATCAGGGTCTTGCCATATAAGGGCAGATACTTCTTCAGGTGAGGTTCCCTTTGATTCTAATTTGTGGCAAGTTGGCATTAAAATCAACCATAATACAGATGAGTCATACATATGATATACAAAAACTGCAAAAATTAAACACCAGTAAAAGCTACTAGACAAATTGGCCAATGAACTGAAAGAAAAAGAAGAAATACAAGAAACACAAATGACCAAAAAACAGTCTAAAAATTCCCAATTTCCTTGGCAATCAAGAAACTGCAAGTTTGAATCAATAATCTTAATATTATTGTTCCAGCCAAATCTAGAACTCAATCCCAAAGCCCATCAGCTGGCAGATGGATGAACAAATGCAACACCATAGATCCATGTGGTGGAATATTATTCAATCCTGAAAAGGAAAGGAGTACTGATACATGTTGTAAGATAAATAGGCCTCTGAATATCGTTATGCTAAGTGAATATGATATTTCAGACAGAGGCCTTCAGCTGGATTCCAGGAGCTCGAATCTCCCATTGTCTTTTAGACCAATGGCCTGGCCAAGGTGGAGAACGTCTCATAGTTTGTATAACAACAGACCTAGGCCCTGGGTGGGCCCACACCTGTCCTGAGGACTAGTGAAACATGCCTGGTGCTAGAAGGCTGGTGCCCTTGTGGAATGTTTGAGGGCTTGAGTAGGTGCTTCAAGGACTATCTTGAAGATTAAAGGAAGTATTTGATATCAGCTCTATACATGATAATAGATATCTTCTGCCAGTACCCCCACTTTTGGAAAGCTATTTAAGAGGATGCTTGAATAAACCGTGGTCTCCAGTACTGACTGAGAGCCCTCCTGAGATGACAAGATGTCTCTGTCTCATCCTTAACGCCGCTGGGTAGCTAGGACTTTCCCGATCCACACTCCCCCACTCAGGATCAGGCCTGGGGCTGTTCAGCTGGTTCCAATCACAGCCCCAAAGACATCAGTCTGGAATAGATGGCCTCTGTAGCATGGGACTGATACAGGCCGGACACCTGCCATTAAGTGAAGAAAGTCAGTTGCCAATGGTTGCTAAGATATGATTCTGTTATATAACATGTTCAGAGCAAGCAAGTCTGTAGCCAGAGAAGGTAGATAGATGGTGATGCCATCCTGAAGTTAAGTAGGGATGGTAACACAGTGCAAAGGGAGAGGCTGCCAATGGACACCAGGCATCTTTGGGAAACTTATTGGGGCAGTGGCTGCAGAACCCTGAACAGCAAGCACCTGTAAATTTTATTAGCAACAGCTGTTGAAAAATAATAGGAACACTCCAGGCACTGTAGTTTCAGCACTATGGAGACTAAGACAGAAAGATGGCAAGTTTGTGTAGCCTGGTTTACACAGCGAGACCCTTTCTCAAAGGGGGTGGGGGAGGTAGGTACATAGAGAAACCGAGTAATAAGCAGGTTTGATGATCTTTCATAAACCAGCTCACCACACATTGACTGACACAGCAAGAGCTCCTTAGGTACCCTGTACAGAAGACGCCCTACACCACCCAGTGCTGTGCCACCATCATGGTGGATGCTGCTCTCTTGTAACACTATGGTCACCTTGAAAGTCTTAAAATGAAGCTAATAATACATACATTGTTTTATTGAATAATAAATTTATTAAATCCCAGAGATACTTAAGGGTTAAGTTTCATCTAAACAGAAAACACCAAATCTTCACAGGACATGAACCACGTGTTAAAGAGCATGTGGGGACCCACACCAAGCACCTCTCAGATGCTCAGTCCATTCCTGTGGTCTAGGACTCCTTCACAGATCCCACATGCAAACGGGGGACTCGAGTTGTTCCCGTAGGGAGCTGCAAGTGCTACTGCTCCCTTACAGTTGGCCCCTCCCTCTTTGTAGTGAGTATGAGAGGGATGAACACTGCAGTGGACACTCAAGAGCAGCCCTCCAAAAAAGCTCCCTGAGGCTGAGATCAGGCCTCAAGTTAAATCTCCCAAGCACAACACAGAGCTTGTCCAACAGAAAGCACACTAGGTAGGTGGATGCATGGATGGATGCATGGGTAGGCAGATGCATGGTAGACAAATGGATGGGTGGGTGGAAGCATGGATGCATGGATGCATGGATGGATGCACGGATTGACGGGTGGGTGGATGGGAAGGTGGATGGATGCTTGGATGCATGCATGGATGGATGGGTAGACAGATGCATGGGTAGATGGGTGGGTGGGTGGGTGGATGGATGGATGGATGGATGGATGGATGGATGGATGGATGGATGGAAGAGCGGACAGATTGATAGAGGATATAGAGGTGAACTGGGAATTAGATAGCTATAAATTAAGTAGATAAATATAAATGGTTAGAGGAAGGGGAAGAGAGGGAGAGAAGAGATGAAGGAAGCAGAAGGGAGAGAAAAGGAGAGTTGTGTATAGGTATATATTCATGTACTAGAAATGAGCAGGGAGACGGGTGCTTTGATGAACAGATAAGTAACTGAGGTCCCACAGCATGTGTCCTTTGGCCATTAGGAAACATAAAATACCAGACCAGCTTTCTCTGGGAGAAATCCCACCCAGCGTCCAGACAGCTGAATCCAATAGCGCTGAAGGCAGCCCAGGCACTATATTGGGCCAGAAATAGCCCAAGGCCCACAGTAGGCACCATCTGGCCCTAGCATAGTGGACATTATATACCACCAGTGCTTGCCCTCGAGAAGCTCTGAAGTGACTAACAAGTCCCTAGAGAAGGAATTTGTCCCCCTGAAAACGTCTGGCATTGAGGTCTGAGGTTACAAAGGGGCTGAATGTATATCATGGATGGGTACCATGGCCCATCTCTGAGTCCATTTCCACCAAGTGACATCTTCACTTGGTCTCATGCTTACCATACTCCTGGGGAGTGGAAGCCATGTTACTTTTAACAAGTGAGCTTCCAGAGTCTTGGATTTGCCAACAGTTACTTGTGAAAGAAGCTCCCAGAGTGTATTTGACTTACCAGGGCACTTCTTCAGACACCCTTATCCCAGAGCCTATAAGGGGAGCAGAGACAGGCAGGACCCATGGACATCATCTCCAGCACCAGAGACTAGCAGGACCACATAAAACCCTCAGACTCAGATCCCGGTGAGACCAGATGAACCTCTGAGGAGTTAGGAGCTTGCCGCACGCGCTTCCGCCATGGCTCACCAACCAGCCCAGCAACGGCCACTGTCCTTTTGGCTCCCCTGCCCTCCGTCTCATCCCGGGAAAGTCTCAGGGACATCCCAGAATCCTCCTCTCTTTTGACACATTCTTGGTCATTCGGTGTCTCCTGTCCTCCAGTGATCCTCTCCTGAAATCAGAAAGTAAGCCAAAGGCATTCATCTCAAACACTGTGATGAGGTCATCCTGGACAGTGCTAGACACTAAGAACCCGGGGTGACCTGGCTTTGCTTTTTTCCTCACTTTCACATTTGAAGAGCCATGTCCGAACATACCAGCTAGCCACAGGGAAATGACATTTTGTCATGGGTGCACATATTTACCAGAAGGACCCAAAGAGCAGCCCAGCCAGAAGACTTGAGTAAGGTCAGAGCAAAGCAAGGGAGCTGAGCAGTCAGCCCCAAAGTTTGAGGGATGAACAGATTCAGTTAAACACAAGTCAGAATACTCCAAAACCCCTCAGGCCATCCTGGGCATGCCACACTTCTCACGCCATTATTCTGTACAATCCTGAACAACAATTTATGTGATATTTATACCACACTGGGTGCCCAGGTCATCAAGAGATGATGTCATGTGTTTGGGAGGATGAGTAAAACAGGGACACCATTTTACACAGGGGACTTGAGCATCCAACTTATAGCATCCAAGTAGGGTCCTGAAACCAACTTCCACAGACGCCAACATACAACTACACACCAAAAGGTGGGCAGGAGTATGTGTGTTGCTTGCTTGCATGCTTGCTTGCTTGCTTGCTTGATGTAGGGAGCCGGTTCCTGCATTATCCATTACAATAATGGTGCCTGAAGACACCAAGATGTAAATTACTTCACAGGCGCTGGGTAATCTCCATTCCTTTGATCTCTGCCTATCCCGTGGCTCATTTGGCCTGAGGAGCTGAAGCCATTCATAGGGTAACACGTCCCAGGCGGCTGGCCAGCCTTTATAAGGGATGGTTTTCTTGGTTCAGTGTCTCCGCTCTGGTAAGCTTATGCTCTCCCCTCACAAGATGCATTAAAAGCTTGTCTGCAGAAGGATCCGAGTGTCCTGCGTGTATTTCTTGCTGGCGAGAAAATACAGAGCGCGCGGGACAGCTTGAGATGGGGGTCTCATGTGTTCCAGGTTGTACGTGAACTCTCCATGAAGCTAAAAATAAGCCGATCTTCCTGTCTCTACTTCCTTAGGGTGGGGCTTCTAGGTGTGAACAACCATACCCAGTTTATACAGAGCTTCATGCATGCTAGGCAAGCACGCTACAGACTGAGCTACATCCCAGGCCTAGCTTAAAAGGGGTTACGCTGTGTGAGGAAAGCTGCTGGCAGTAGCCACAGGTTATTAAATGAAAATTCCAGTGCTAGGCATGGGCTACTCGGAATGGGCGACTCCATATGACTTATAGGACAGGGAGGCCCCAGAAGTTCCAGAACAATACAGGCTATTGCACTGTGACTGGTTGCCCACCACAATCATAGGACAAGATCGTACTGCTGACGACAACATGTGTTCTAGCCAAAGGGTAACAGTATATCAAGCTAGAACTAGAAGCTTCCTCCCATTGAGGGACTTTGCATGCTCCACCACTGACAGACCAGTCCAGATGGTGCCGCGTCTGTTATGGGCTGTGAGGCCTGCCCTACAGGAGCAAATATACATCTTGCACTGTAAGCCTTCTCAAAAGCCTATGGCCAGGGTGGGCCAGAGGCCCCAAGGGTGAAGCTACTGTGCTTGCTTAACTAAATGGGCGGGATGTACCTGTTAAAATACCTATAGGGTACCGTTGCTGTTAGCTTTGGTCAGGAAAATCTTCACTTTTCGGTGGTAGGTACTGACTACAGAGACTCGCAAGTGGTCAACGTGCTGAGAGTGAGTGATGGATGTGTGCTCAGCCTCCAATGTGACATCCTGTCACCCCTCCAAGACTCAGAAACATCACAGGAAAACAGGGTGGAGAGAATGTACCAGCCGGAGGAAGAGGGGGAGTGTAGGGGGATGATGTCTTCCAGGCAAAACATGGCCATGGCACTCTTCAGTTCAACAGCTCTGAGCACCTACACAGAACCTCTCGGTATCCAGTGATGGCAGCAGATGTGCTCATGAGGCCCCTCCCCTTCCTGAGGATTTATAGGCAGCTACTGGGTGAAGTAAGCGGGTGAGACATATTCTTGAGTGGTGTAGCAGGAAAGTGAAAGGAGAGCCAGTCAGGAGAAGCCAGTGTGAGGGGGCAGGGGAAGACAGAGGATAACAGAACAATGACTATGATCAAAATGCATTTATATTGGGAAACATAATAAAACTCATTGACTATGATTCATATATGCCAATGTAATTGTTTTTGATGTTTTCCAGACAGGGTTTCTCTGTGTATCCCTGTCTGGCCTAGAACTCACTTTGTAGACCAGGCTGGCCTCAAATTCAGAGATCCACCTGCCTCTGCCTCTGCCTCTGCCTCCCGAGTGCTGGGATTAAAGGTGTGTGCCAGCGTCACCCAGGGAGCGCCAGAGTATTTTTTAAGTTGGCATTCTGCCTTTGAGTGTGCAGACATCCCAAGACACACAAGCATACATTCTAATACTCCAGAATTCCTTCCCCTTCCTCTAAAAGGAAATTTTAAAACTTGGTGACCAGATGAGGCCAATGACTATAGCCTCTGCTCAGAGCCCTAACAGAGCCCTAAGTTAGCCCAGCATTCTGTCAGAAGCCAAAGAAGATAAGAGCCCCTTTCTGCCAGGTAGCAAGGGCTGATGCTTGCCCAAGTACAGCTTTCTAGGAGGATCCAAGACTTAATGGAATAGCTCATGCCTCTGTAGGATCTCCTAAATCCAAATAATCTACCCAACAGAAGGAGCTGTGTTGCTTCTCCTGTACAAGAGTTAGGTTTTAGAGCTGGCTACTTAAGGATTTGAGAGCAATGACCTGGTGCGTGTATGGGCTGGCTCCGGGAAAAAACTCCAAACCTTATCAAATATTGAGCACCGAGGTACTAAAAAGGACTCTGCAACCTGCCTTCCCTCACAAGACTCCAGTCACTCTGGAGAATACAAAGACCTAATACCACTGTCCTCTTTCTAGCAGGAGGAGAGGAACAAGGGGGATTCGCCTTGCTTTTGTTCTGGTCTGTGACCGAACTTCAAATTCGTATTTCCCCAACGGTATTGAGGCCAGTCTTGTAGTTTCCTTCTGGTTTCATGAACCCTTGTCTAGCTGAGAGAATGAACCACGAAAAGTGTAATTCTAAAGACTCCTTATCCCCTTCCTTCTATCCCGAGACAGGGAGATTTTCAGTATTAGTCAGCATCAGCATGGGCCTCTGCCAAAGAGGAGCCCACAGGCCAGGTGTCCAAGGAGCTGCCAGGCAGTCACACACACACACACACACACACACACACACACACACACACACACACACACACCATTTCCTAGTGGAATTCCATGCTGCAGATCAATGCAAGGTGGTCACTAGGGAGACGGGAAGGCTGTGGATTGAATGGCATGTCCATACTGTACCTTACGGCTTTCTCCATGATCAAACTGTGAGGCTCCATCACCCTGAGAAGTCTGCCTGGGAGTGTTTGTGCCCTCTTCGGAACATTCAGGGTGCACCGTGCTCCCTAAGAAGAGAAGAGGATAAACAATGGGGCTAGTTCCAACACTCAGGACCCTCCAACACACTGAGGCTGAGGGCCCGCTCCAGCCTCTTAATCCCCACACTTTGGCTTGGGCTATAGTGCACTCGTGTGGGGAGAACTGCATGGTATGAAGAGACACAGAGTAGCAGGAGGCTCGGAGCTGGCGATGTAGCTCAGCTAGGAGAATGCTCAGCATGCAGTGTTCTCTGGCTTCTACCCCGAGCATCACATAAACCATGTGTGGTGGTGTAGACCTGGAATCCCAGTATTCAAGAGGAGTGGGCAGAAGGACCAGAGTTCAAGGTCCTCTCCAGCAGTATAGCAAGTTCAAGACCAGCCTGAGATACACGAGTCTGTCTCAAAAAATATCAAAATGGGGGCTCTATTCAAGCATTTCCCAGCTGCAAGGGGGTGGGGGAATCTGTTTATTCCAGTATTTTCCCAGGTCCTCTCTGCTCACTGTTGCTGGTACTCACAGCTAACTAAATGTCCCACCCCCACTTGCCACCAAGTGGAAAGTATGACTTCCCTGTCTTATTTATATACAGCCCCACACCCTGAAATCGGTGTGGGTCTTGGGATTCAGTTCTCTGTAGGGAAAAAAAATTGGGCAGTTTTTGCATTGGAGCTGAAGATGTATATGTGATGTTTTTGACTATACAATAAATAGATCACTCAGTTGTTATCTATATAAGTATATTAGTAAATGTTTTCTCTAATGGTATAAATTAGCAGAATTTGGTTTGACAAAAATTTAACTCTAAACATTTGAAACCCCTTCAGTACACTTTATCTCTCCCTAATAGTTTTTATGTCATGCAGGAGTAACTGCCCATGGACTTCAGAGTTTATAAATGACTGCAGAAGTTTCACCAGCCTTATCCACTGACTCTAATGCCTAAGAAAGTGCCTGCCTGCACTGTGAACTGTTATCAAATGGAAGAATCTATGAAACAGTGGATGGGTGGATGAATACACCCTGGGGTTTCTAACATTCCTGATATTTTTATGTGCTATGAGATAATTTGTGCTAACAAAAATCAAATGCTTACTTGCATTTCATTCCTAACCAATTAATGTCCCATAGGATTTTTTTTTACATCCCGACTGCTATTTCCTCTCCCACCTCTCCCCCCCAGTTCCTCCTCATCCCCCTTTCACTCCTCCTCTACTTCTCTTCAGAAAAAGACAGACCTCCCATGAATATCAACCAGCCATGATTGCAATGAGACTGGCATCACCTCTCCTATTAAGGCTCAACATAGCAACTGAGTAGGAGGAAAAGGTCCCAAAAGCAGGCATCAGAGTAAGAGACTGCCCCTGCTTCCACTGTTAGAGGTCACACAAGAAGATCAAGCTACACAACTGTAACACATATACAGAGGGCCTAGGTCAGTCCCATGCAGGCTCCCTGGTTGTCGGTTCAGTCTCTGTGAGTCCCTATGAGTTGATTCTGTGGGGTTTCTTGTGGTACCCTTGATACCACTGGGTCCAATAACCCTTCCCTCCCTCCACTGGATTCCCCGAGCTCTGCCTAATGCTTGACTGTGGGCCTCTGCACCTGTTTCCATCAGTTGCTGAATGAAGCCTGTCTGGTGACTATTGGAGTAGGCACCAATCTATGAGTATAGCCAATTTGGTTTGGTTTGGTTTGCCAGACCTGCTATTTGGTTCTATCCTAGGTCTCTAGGATATCCTTGCTTCTGGGTCCTAGGTCTCCAGGCAGTGTCCAGGAGTGATCTCCCTTTCATGAAATGGATCTCAAGCATAATTTTTTTATACACTAGTTGGAAAGGTACATATCTGGGGAACCAGACATTCCGGTACATCAAAGATAAGTACCCGCTGCATTTCAAGACCGTGATGCAGGACAATGGCCACTAGAGGGAGCCATAAAACCTGCCAAAGAGCAGCATTCAGCAAAAATCACCTCAGCAGGTTGGTTTGGCTCTCCACACTCCCAGGCATACTGGATGACCATAAAATTGCTGTTGCTACTATACTATGTAATGTGTGACTATGAGAGCAAACTGAAACAAGACTAGGGCTCCAGTTTGCTGGCCCTCCGACTTAGAAAAGCAGGCCCACCTTTGCATCTCAAATTATTCACTTCTCTGTATAATCCATGTAGGGATTTTTTATTTCTGCTTTAGGTAAGTGTAAGTTGAAGAAAATCATTTTTCCTGTGGATGGCAAGTGAATCCATGATAAGTTCATCTAGAAAAAAAAATTGTGACCCTTTAGAAGGAAAAATAATTTTTGGAGCCGTATGCAATGGTATCGCTCCTCCAGTAACTTTTTTATTTTATTTTATTTTTTGCAAAAGAACATTCCCTTGTTGACATATTCAATTTCATCCCCTCCAGTAAAGAGACTTCAGGCATGTGCAGACTGACTGGGAGATCACATCAGAAGGAATTATGATCCTATCGGTCAAGTTTCAAAGGTTTCCCATGTAACTGAGAACAGGGAGAAAATGCATTTCCCACAAACTACTTCTCTCAAAGGGTCTGAAAAAAATCTAAAACGTCCCAGGGTCATTACAAGCCACAGATGTTATCAACAGCCAAGGCTGTACAAACTTTAAAAGCTCTACTAATGAAGGCGTATCACACACAGGTTCTCAAGCATTTGCACGGAGCCCAAGGGCTCTCCCTTTGAAATGTGCCTGTTTGTGACTTCTCCAAAGTCAGAAGGCATTGACTCCATGGGGAGAACTGCTTATGGGTCCATTTCCACCACACACAAAGTGATGCAGACCCTCTAAAACACTGCTTCTCATACACAAAGTGATGCAGACCCTCTAAAAAACTGCTTCTCACTCACAAAGTAATGCAGACCATCTAAAAACTGCTTCTCACTCACAAAGTAATGCAGACCCTCTAAAACACTGCTTCTCAACTGGTGGACCAAGACCCCTTGGGGGGGGTTCACATATCAGATATTCATAACAGTAGCAGAATTACAGCTATGCAGTAGCAACAAAATAATTTTATGATTGGTGTTCATCACAGCATGAGGAACTGTATTAAGGGGATGCAGCATTAGGAAGGTTGAGAACCACTGATCTAAAATAACTGCCAGGGAACCCTGAGGGTGACACTGGAAACAAATCAGGGTTTAAGGATAAAAAGACCCTTAATTTTTTCTCAAAAATTACAGAATTTGAGTAATCTAATTATAGCCTAATTATAGCAATGGCTCTTGTTCCTGCAAAAGACTTCTGGAACATTCTCTGAAGGTCCTCTCATTTGCTGTTTGGAAGTGAGAGTTGGTGACCCTCAGAGTAGACTAAAGTGACAGGTTTGGCATCTGATTTCCAGACCAGCTTCCTCCTACCAGACCACACAGACTCAGCTCTTGAAATAAACCCCCAGTGGAATTCTCCGTCAGGAAGCCATCTCCCCAATTAGGCCAAAGCATCCTCCTCCCCGCTCAGCCCCTCTGGCCAGGCGATTTTCACATTCCGATATGCATTTCCTTTTTTCACTCCCAGCCAAGGAACAGTGGCATAGTGTCTAAGCACAGAGTTGGACCCTCATTTGTGAAGCTATAAACCTGTACGGATGGCCAGTGCCGCCATGTCCAGGGGCGCAGGCTGGCTTCCCTTCCCTCCTAACACAATGCCACAGGGCAAGCCACTTAACTGCCTCATTAGGATCACAGTCACAGCCCTGCCAGTCTCCTTCCCTGGCACTCCTTCCCCTCATTAATAGCTGTAAGGGCCCATTAAGCCTTACAGCTGAGGGGAGCCATGAAGGCAAGACCTATCACTATTACCATCAATAAGGTCTCAGGCACTTGCCTGTCACCACCTGAGTTAAGTCAGTCACCCATGCAAAAAGGCAGCCTACACCTCTGGCTCATCTGCCCCTAATGAGCCACCTCACCTGCTTCTGCAGAAACATCCTAATGAATGTGATGGATGCCCACATCATGGGGGGTGGGGGGCTACTACTTTAACTTAAGGCAGTACATCTAAACTGCTGGAAGCTTGTCTCCTGGGGACAAGAGGCACCTGTTGGTGAAATGTCCAGGCACCTAAGCTGTAAAGTGAAACCTTCCCCATGTGGGAGTCAGAAAAGCCACCAATAAATCCTGGGACAAGCATGTCTGCATTCCCCTCTAGCCATCTGAAGCTCCCTCCTCCCCTGGGGAACCTGCTATCGAAACCCTACCTTGCTCCCTCAAAGATCTCTCTATCCAAACCTCACTGACAAGCAAGGAGCCACCCAGAACTGGCGACAGTGGGGTCAATGGAAGATAAACAGTGTGTCTGCAGGGCATCATATCATGCTGCCATAAAGATGGCTATTGTCTCAAGTACTCACGCAACTGAACTGTACCAGATGAAGCCAGCCAAAACAAGCATGGATGAAAGAGGAGCTGACAAGGCCCCACCTGTAGCTGAGAAGCCATTGGAGGTTAGTTGGTGGTGGCTGTGGAAGGACAGTTATTTTTCTTTTGTGGCCAGCTGTAGACTGCCTGTTCCCCAGTGGTTGACACCCAAACCCAAACACACACACGCACCACTAACTGGATGCAATGAAATATAAAAAATTTAAATTATTTTAAAAAGTAGATGTGAAGTTAGGAAGAATGGATATAATCACAAGGCATTTTGGACATGGATGAAAGCCACACACACAAAAAAGTAAAACAGTAATAGTGAGATGATACAGGGCTTACATGAGATGGCTCAGTCGGCATGGGGATCTGAGTTCAAATCCTCAGCAACCACATAAAAGTCAGGCATGGTGGCTGACTTCTGGAATTCCAGCGTGGGGACAGAAGAGGGAGGATGCCCCTGACGCTCAGTGGCTAGCCAGTCTAACTGTGGGTATCGATTTCATTGAGAGACCTTGTCTTAAACTTTAAAATGGATAATGACAAAGGAAGACACTCTTGGGCCCCATGCACATAGCTCACAAACATGTACCACACATGTATACATGTACACACAAAATGATTTACACAGCACTATGCAACATTACCATATGGCCATGGACACAGCCTGCACAGGGGAGACTGAAGAGTGGGCTATCACAGCAAACCTTAGTCATATTCGGAATTCTCAACCACATGCACACACTACTCCCTCAAAACAGAGAAACAGGAGATGATCTTTGTAGATGCTTATCTAGTAGTTGTCTTCATAGTGGCCTATCTAGTTAGTAGTTGATCTATGTAGGGGTCTATCTATCTAGTAGTTGATCTATGTAGGGGTCTATCTATCTAGTAATTGATCTTTGTAGTGGTCTGTCTAGTCTAATTGGAGTGTCCAATTCCAGATCTGAAGATCTTTTGGAGCCATGCAGATGAGATGGTCATGGGTGAGAAATACAAAACAAATGTCCCAACTGGGTCTCAGTCCCGCCTTTGTTCAACTATCTACTCAAGAACTGTAACATATACATGAATCAGACTCAGTCAATGGAAGAGAAACTGTCCCCATTTGGGGCAGCTATGGATGCTAAGGTGACCAGACCACTGAGCAGATGTCCGTCCCACTCACCATCTTGAAGTCTCGCCTCCTGAAGATAAATCTTGAGCCAGATGTTGGCACGCTGGCCCCAGGCCCCTGGGGGCTCTACCTCCCACAAGCGCCCTCTCTCGCCTGGACAGGTCAACAGGAACTGCCTGAGGACTGGGAAGAAAAGAGGCAAGCCATGAGTCTGACTCCTGCCCACCCCAGTTCAGCCAGTCAGCTCTCTCTGGGTCCTTGCACACGGCCCTTCTGTGGCTACTGTACACCTTCTCACTATCTGACTCTGCTTCACCGGAACCCCTTTCACCAACTTCCCATGGTACAGAATCATCCCTGTTCATCTCACACCCCACTTCCATCCATCCTGCACTGAGTTTCCAGGGCACCAAATACAAAGATGCTACATTTACATAAAATGTCAGGCACAGCATTTACTTCCCGTGCATGGCCCATCACCTAGATACCTTTCAGCATCTGATGCTATCCATGTGGATGCCATATCAATAGCTACTAGACTGTGATGCTTAGAGGACAATGGCAATGGAAAGGTCTGCACATGTTCAGTACAAGTGCCATTTTCTTTAATGTCTTCAAGCCATAGCCAGTTTGAATTTTGGGATCAGATTCCTCAGATATGATGGACTGCCGGTAGCATGGCAACACAAGCTGATTTTTCAAGGCTCTGGAGGCAGAGTACCCTGGGTTGGGACACTCTGAGCCCTCTCCCCTGATCTTCCTGTTATCTCCTCAGTGTCCTCTCATGGCCATGACCATGTGCACCCCCCTAGGGTCTCACTTCTTGCTATTCTTGGCCATCAACGGACTACAACTGGAACTAACTGAAATGCAAATGGCTGGCCACACCTGTGAGGGACTTTTTTCTTAATTAAATAATTTAAAATGGGAAAACCAGATCTTTGTAGTGAAACAATAGAACCACCTTTACTCTGAGCCAGACTTTCTGCTGGCAGCCTGTATAAAGGACATGGAAGAAGAAAGCTTGCTCTATTTGCCCACTTTCTCTCACTGGCAAGTCCATTCCTTCACCAGCATTAGAGCATACTTCTTCAGGGGTCAGGCATATATGGAAAACCAGCCGAGACATCCAGCCTCATGGACTGAACAACTATGAGACTCTGGGACCTTCAGTTGGTAGAGAGTTGTTGTTGGGTTAGCTAGACCACCACCTGTAAGCCATTCTAGTAAATCAATCTCTCTCTCTCTCTCTCTCTCTCTCTCTCTCTCTCTCTCTCTCTCTCTCTCTCTCTCTCCCACACACCACCACACACACAATCCAATATATGTGTGTATGTATGCATGTATGCATTCATTCTATAAGTTCTGCTCTTCTAGAGAATCCTGACTAAGACAGTGCCAGTCATTTGAATTAAGGCCCACCCTTTCAAGCTTACTTGACCTTAATAACCACTAAAGGAGGACTATCTCCAAACACATGAATGTGGGGAGCAGGACACAATCCAGTTGCTAACATGTCCCCTCCCGGTGCTCCCTTCACAAACCACTCATCCTCAGCTCCCAGTCGGCCCTTGAAAGCTGGTAGACTATCCACATTTCCTGGATAAGCATTTTCACATGGCACTTGCCCCAACATCAGACAAGAGGGAAAGCCACTTCTGGTCTTGCAGGTAACTGTGAAGACATCACCGAGCAAGCTCTCCTCTACCATTTGCCAGCTCTGGGCAAAAGCCCATGTGGAAGTGCACTACATACGTCAGATGGAAACATACTGGGAAGCACTGGGTGAGCATGTCCTGCCCTCCTAGCCTGACCAGCCTAACTTCTCATCAGGAAAAAAAAAAAAAAAAACAAAAAAACAGCTCCAATGGTAGAGTTGATGCACCATTGAAAGTGTGCCTCAAAGTATGATGATCCCAGGAGAGCTGAGCGCCAGCTGGCAGCCCACCCTACTCTGCTGGCTGTCCCTGCTCCCTCCCCCATCACTCACAGGGGCTGTGCATACAGTAAGGACACCCACCCACACTCCAGAGGTGTCCCTGGAACCAAGACTATATAAGCAGGTGCTGTGGTTGACCCTTGGGAGGACAGACCCAGGACTGAAATACAAGCAGGCCTTCAGTGGGCAGTGGCTGCCATTCTGGAGTCCTAATGCTCTGAGCAGGTTTAAAAAGAGCAGCAGGCTCAACTAAGACATTTCCTTGGGTCCTTGGAGTCCTCGTCTCATGGAGAGAGGTGTAGCTGAATGGGGCCTAAAGAATGGAGTGTAGGGTGGGAGATCTCTTTAGCTGAAGGGCAGAACCATCCTCAGTAAAAGGCTGCTAGGAGTACAGGGTGGCTAAGCCCTCAACAGAAGACGCATGATCCCAAGTTGGCATATTTGGGTCCTTCTCTGCAGGCAAAAGGGGGGGGGGGAATCTCAGGGCAGCAAGGTATGAGCTCTGGAATGGCCATGTCTTTGCTGTCTACATCCACTTGGGGAACAAAAGGCTCTTCAGCTCCTTTGGCAAGTCAGCCTGAAGTGGCCTGTCCTGGGAGGGCACTCCAGAGGAGTTTCAGGATGGAAGGCAGGATGTGGAGAGAGCATGGCAGATGATCTGTGGATAGAAGCCACTTGCCTAGGGACCAGAATTCCTCCCAAACCCAAAAGCCAACTACACCATGCAGGATGCTTCAAACACACTCTCTGAAGACATGAAAAGCTTCCAGAGGTTGATACAACTGGGGGGGGGGTGGAAAATGCAAACAAACAACTAAAACAGCACTCAGGGAACGAACGTGCGAGCTCAGCTGCTTCCCTCCATGACTTCAGAGTAGCAGTCCTGCCACGCTCTAGTTTTCCTTCTTCTTCCCAGAAATACGATGGTCATAAAAACCCAACCCCAAGGCTTCAGAACCATCAAGACAAGAACTGAGACAGGCAGTGGTAGCACATACCTTTAATTCTAGCACTCAGGAGGCAGAGACAAGCAGATCTCTGTGAGTTCAAGGCCAGCCTGGTCTACAAAATGAGCTCCAGGACAAAGAAGGCTACACAAAGAAATCCTGTCTCAGAGGCTGGAAAAAAAAGAAAAAAGAAAAGAAAAAAAAAAAAGACAAGAACTGAGGCTGGACCCAAAATGAAGTTGGTGAGCTTCACCAGGGATAGGGTCCTGAACGATATTCTGTACACTCGGCCATCCCCAGTGATGTGGAATATGTATGCTCAAGAACAATAAAGACCTCCAGAGAGACCCAGCTGTGGTGATATATTGTTTATGTTTTAATAAAGCTTGCCTGGAGATGAGAATGCAAAGCTAACCACAGCCATAGAGGCTAAGCAGTGCTGGCACACACCTTTAATCCCAGGACTCAGGAGACAGAGGCAGATGATATCTGTGAGTTCAAGGCCACCCAGGGCGACATGAGAGTGAATCAGTCTAAAAGAGGAACAGAGCTCACACCTTTAATCCCAGCACTAGAGAGAATATAAGGAGCTCGGTGCAGTATCAGGCTGCAGTCTGAGATTTGGTGAGGAGCAATGCAGTCTGGAGATACAATCTGAGGACAGGATCGCCCCTTTGGTCTGAGCATTGGTAGAGATCAGAGTTCTCTGGTGGCTGGTCGCTTTGCTTTTCTGATTTTCAGCTTGAACCCCAATATCTGTCTCTGGGTTTTTATTATTTGTGCTACACCCAGCAGGGAGATAGCAGAGGAGGGAGGGTGCCTTCTCCTACAGTGAGGGTGTCAGATGAGCTGGAGGCCCGGGGCCTCTACAGTGCCCCTGAGTGCTTTGGCCTCGCCACAGCTCATAGGCTCCTGCCACATGTTTATAGGACTGTGCTAGGAGTGGAACCCAGACCCTCCCTCGTGCTAGGCAAGCCCCCACCTCGGAGTGCCATCTGCAGCCCTATCAGTTTCAAATGAAAAAGGAGAGTCACTGCAAGGCCCTGATGCAGCTAGTTAATTCCCTGGATTCTGTGTGCCCCTGAGATATTGTTTCTGATTACATATGCTCCTCAACTTATGTCGATTTAAGTGCAAAATCTGTGGCAATGCATATGACACATATAGCCCACAGAGCAGTGCTGACTCTCTTACACATGCTAAAAGGGCCGCTGTGATGGCTCAGCTGGGAAAAGCACTTGCTGTGCAAGCCTGAGCACCTAAGTTCAATCCCTAGGATGCATGGGAGAAGGAGAAAATGAACTCCTGAAATTGCCCTGTGACCACCACCTGAGCACCATGCCTGTGAGCATCTACACACTTGTGTGAGTGCAGGCACACACATACACACCATACACACCCACCACACACACACACACACATTCATACAACACACACACACACACACACACACACACACACACACACACACTTTATAAAGGAAAAGAAAAATACTCAGAACAGAGCCCCTGCAGGACAAACCCATCTAACTCAAGTCTATTCTTCTATTCTTTAATCAGTGTGCAAGGTCTTCATGTGAATATTTGTATCCAAAGCCACCACGAAGACCAAACACCACAGAATCCCGGCTGTTACCACTCTACAGACTGTACGGGAACATACATCACAAGGCCAGGAAGAGGTCAAAACTCTAAACATGAAGTGTGATTTCTACTGAGTATGTATCAAATTCATGCTATTATAAAACTGAAAAATCCCAGGCTGGAGAGATAGCTTAGTGGTTAAGAGCATGGCTGTTCTCCCAGAGGACCTGAGTTCAATTCCCAGTACCCACATGGCAGCTCACAATTGCAATGCACACAAAGTTAAATTATTTTAAAAAAAGAATAAAATTGAAAAACCCCAAGTGGCATCATGGTGAGTTGGGCACCTTCTGCATTATCAAATGTCATCATTTCTCAGGCCCAGAGAGGTCCCCTTTGCAAATCAAACATGAAGGCCCTGGTCATGCTGAAGCTAAAGGAAAAGCCACAGCCCATATCAACCCAGAACAACTCTGAGGCTCATGCTTCAGTCCCCACAGTGCATGTGTTAGCCGTCACTCTTACCCAAATGCTCACACAGGACATGAGGTGGGGGTTACCTCTGTACATTGCAGGAGAAATCGGGCAACTGATACCCAGGGCTTCGTCTTCTGGGAAGGTGTCACAGAAGTCCCTCAGCATGGCTGTCCCCAGTCCTTGGCAACGGTTCTTCCTCCGCACAAACACGGTATCGAAGACAGGCAACAGGTAGCATGCGCTGGTGCCATCACCACAGAGGCTGCCTGCAGGAAAGGAACAGATGTACACTGTCCCCCAGGCTGGATGCTGACTCACCCAGGGTCACTGGTACCACCTGGGAGCAGAATTCACTTCACAAACTAAGTAAACAATGGTGAGATACCAGATCACTCCAAAACACCAGTTCTCTAATGGACCTGTGTGTTTTCTTCAAAGACCCACATAATTAATTGCTCCAAGCACAGAAAATGGACTGGGTCATGGAAATGAAATGCAGCCCTGGAGATTGAGCTTCACCAAAGCCTTGTGAACCCTGCCAGACCTGGCCGCTCACTGAGACCCCGGAGCCAAGGAGGTTTATTGAGGCAACATCAAAGTTCTCCTCGCAGAGGTGAAGTCAGTCTGCAGTGAAGGCAGAGAGACCAACTGGATCCATCTCTAGGTAAATACTTGTTCCAATTACTTCAACAAAGGCTTATGGTGTCCAGTTCTGGCAAAATGCATGGCCCCCAAAACCCGTAAGCCCTCATGCTTCCCATGAAACATGAATGACTGCTGCCACAGAGCAGGAGAGGCCAGATGTTGTAGCCTTCCTGTTTTCCACCTTCTGGGAGAGGTGGTACTTGTCCCTATTGAGATTCAGAAAATGAATAACTTTCCAAGCCCAAAAAGGGAAGATTCGGGTTTAATTAGATGGACTAAATTATAAGATACACAATTGTTCCCACAGCCACAATGATTCTCTTCCTGTATCCACACAGGATACAGATGTGTGTGATTTTTAAAGGTTTTTTTTTTTTTTTTTTTCATTAAGAAATGGGGTCTGTTCTTCTCCCAGTCAGTCTAGGCTGACCTGTGACTCACTTAAGCAACAGAATGGGGCAGAGTGATAGATACTGTACCAACAGGGCCTGGGTCTCATGGGGTCCAGTATGGCTCAAATTGTCTCTCAGATACCCACCTCCATCACAAAACCAAGTGTAGGCCAACCTGTTACTATGAAGGAGATGTGATTCAGGAGCCCTGCTTATCCCAGCCTACCTCTAGATAGCCCAAGAAGCAGAAGCATCTATCCAACACACAAGTCACCATGTTCACACAGAAAACCCACCGAGACTAGAAAGCCACCCGGCTAAGCCCAGTCCAAAGCACAAAGAGTGTCTGTGGTTACATGAAGCTATTCTTTCATGCCATGAATGAATACACAATCTATGTCCAACAAGGAATCTCAATTCAATGAAGGCAGTCATTGTAAAAATATTTGGGATTTCACATCAGTTTGTTTGGAAATTTACAGGTTCGGTTTCTATAGGGTAAGAACAATTTGAAGTCTTCTGTAGACCAGAGATCCACCCACCTCTGCCTCCCGAGTGCTGGGTTTAACGGCGCGTGCCGCCACCACCCGGCCCTTCTGTCCTTGTTTCTCCTATTTATTCTGCCTACCAGCCCCGCCTATCCTTGCTCCTACCTCACTATTGACTGTTGAGCTCTTTATTAGAACCACCAGGTGTTTTAGACAGGCACAGTAATGCAGCTTCACAAAGTTAAAGAAATGCAGCATAAACAAAAGTCACACACCTGAAATTAATATTCTACCACAGATTCTAAATGAAGTGCAAAGTTTCCTGTATAACCAACATTGCTTTGAAAGGAACAGAGCTAGAAATGTAGCAATGCCCATTTTATGGCTTTGTTGGGTGTCCAGTGTGACAAAATCACAAAGAACTACAGATCAATGGCAAACCTGAGAAGACAGAATACCAACTCTTTTAAAATCATTTTTCATTCTTTATTTATTTACTGTATGTGAGAGAGAAAGAGGGCATGTAAGAATGCACACACGGGGCTGGAGAAATGGTTAAGAGCACTGACTGCTCTTCCAGAGGTCCTGAGTTCAACCACATGGTGGCTCACAACCATCTATAGTGAGATCTGGTGCCCTCTTCTGGTCTGCATGCATACATACTATACAATATGAATGGAAGGAAGGAAGGAAGGAAGGAAGGAAGGAAGGAAGGAAGGATGGAAGGAAGGAAGGAAGGGAGAAAAAGAAAGCACACACATGTGATAGCAGGTGTGCGGAGGGCAAAGAACAATTTGCAGGAGTCAGTTTTGCCTTCTACCACGCGGGTTATGGGACTACCAGGCGTGGCAGCAAGTGCTTTCACCCAACCCGACCCCAGCCATCTTGCCAGGCCCAGAAATCAACTCTTCTATGTTGATAACACAGGTGCTAAGACAATTCTATGGGGAGAGAATACTTTTTGCCACAAATAGCAGTGGAATGACTTGACACACAAGATGTGTTGAGAGCAAACAACACATTACTAGTGGAGGAAGATGCTCCTGTGGGCAGACCAACATTCTGATTATAACAAGCTGGAACAAGCCAATCTGAGAGGTGATGAAAAGATGACGGTTGCCAGGGTGGAGGTAGCGGATGAGCTGTTGGAGCATAGGATACTCGGGACACAAACTGCCCTACATACACAGAGCATCCATCACTATGGGAGAACCCTCATGTACACTATGACAATTGGCTAACAATAACGTGGTCTAAGAGCTGACTTGTGTCTCTCTAGCACTCATGTGCTGAAGTCCAAACCCTTCAGAATATAACTGTATTTAGGTAGGATGCTGTTAAAAGACAGAGTGGGGTTAACATGAAGCTATTGGGCTTTGCCCTCATCCAATATGGCCACTGTTCATAAAGAAGAAATATGGACGAAGAGAAACACAGCAGAGATACACAGTGAGAAAGTGGCTACATGCTAAGCAAGGAGACGCCTCAAGAGAGAACAGACCTGCCTCATACCAGGATGTTGAAGCCTCTGGAACCAGGTGAAAATTAATTCTTGTTGATTCTATCTAAGGGTTGTATCTCTTGTGATGGTTCAAACAAACTAAGGCATACATCGGTGTTGTTGGTTCATGGATCAAATGCATGCAAGATACTAATCATACCATGCTGGTTACTTTCTGTCAACTTGACACAAACTAGAGTCAGCTAGGAAGAGAGTTTCTCAACTGAGGAATTGCTTGCATTAGGCTGGACTGTGAGCATGTCCATTGGGATATCTTTTTTTTTTTTTTTTTAATGAGTGCTGTCAAAGGACCCAACCCACCATGGGTGCTGCACCTGCCCAGAAGATCCCAGGTGCTCTAAGCAAGCTGAGTAGGCAAGCCAGTAAGCAGCACTGCTCTATGGCCTCTGCTCCAGTTCCTGTCTTGAGTTCCCTAATTTTCCTGGAAGTATAACAGGAAATAAGCTCTTTCTTCCCTTAGTTGCTCTTGATCGTGGGATTTACCACAGAGATGCAAGAAAACTAGAACACAATGGAAACTGGGGAGATTAACTCCAGGGAAACTGAACTTTTGCCTGAATATTTTTCTGTAAATCTAAAACTGCACTAAAATATAGTGTCCCTCTTATAATGTACTAGAGGCTGAAGACATAGCCAGGGTGCTAAGCCCTGTGCTGAAACCACCAAAAAGGAGGGTGGCATTTAAAGTTTGTTTGTTTTTAATTGAACTCTTTTGTTGTGGAATATTAGTTTAAGATGTGTTACATTCATTTATGCTGTGGAATATTTAATGAAACAAAGCTGTGTGCCATCCTTTTATGTTGCATGTGTTTAACTCTGTGGCACTGTGTTACTTTGCCTGTCTAAAACATCTATTGGTCTAATAAAGAGCTAAATGGCCGATAGCTAGGCAGGAGAAAGGATAGGAGGGGCTGGCAGGCAGAGAGAATAAATAAGAGGAGAAATCTAGGCTAGAGAGGGAGAAAAAGGGGAAGAGCTAGGAGCAGGAGAGGGAGAGGAGGAGCCACACAGCCAGCCAGCCGTGGAGTAAGAAGGAAAGAAGATATATAGAGAAAAGAAAGGTAAAAAGCCCAGAGGCAAAATATAGTTAAAGAGAAATGGGGTAATTTAAGTTAGAAAAGCTGGTTAGAAACAAGGCAAGCTAAGGCCAGGCATTCATAAGTAAGAATAAGTCTCTGTGTATTTATTTGGGAGCTGGGTGGCAGGCCCCCAAAGAGGGGAAAAAAAAAAAAAAAACTACACCCTTTCTTCACATCGTTTACAAAAACAAACTCAAAACGGATCACAGATAAAAGGATAAGAGACAAGTTTATAAAGCTCTTAGCATGGAAAAAAGAAAGATGCCTTGACAACCCTGAGTTGACAAGGAGTTAATAGATTCAGCAACAAAGGCACAACTAACTGGCAACTCAGACTTGATCAGAATTTTTACATTTCTTTCTTCAAAAGTCCTTATTAAGAAAAACAAAAGGCCAAAGCAATAGACTGTCAACAGAAATGTTTACAAATCACATTTCTCATAAAAAGGCTTACTGAGAACCAGAATAAAGAGCTCTTACAATTCAATAAAAAATAAAAACAAGTATCCTCATTAAAATTGTGCAAAAGCCTTGAACAAACCTTTAAAGAAGACGTCCACATGGCTATCGATGAAAATCAGCTAACACCACTCACAATTAGGAAAATGGAAGCTAAAACCACAGCAAAATGCCACTCTGGGCCATAACGGCTAGAATCAAAGGACAAAGGATAGTAAGTGACGGCAGGGACATGCAGAAATCAGAGCCCTCACATGTGGTTAATGGAAGTGCACAATGGTAGAGCCAGACTGCACAGCTATTTGGCAGTTCCTTTAAAAGATAGACATGATCTTTCCAAATGACCCAGCAATTGTACTCCTAGGAGCCTACCCAAAAGGAAGGAAAACACTTCCATGCAAACAAGTAAGAGAATGTTTATAGCCGCCCTACTCACATAGTAAAGCCTAGAAGCAATCCATCAGCTGATAGGTTCACAAGCAAAGTACAGCGTATTCATAAGGCAGGATCATGTGGCAATAAAAAGAAACACAATGCATACGTACGATTTACAGGAGCTGCAAAACACTTCCCTAAGTGAAAGCATGGCTGCTCTAACACCTGGTCCATGCTAACTGGCAGAGGCAGGAGACGGCTCAGCCATTGCCTACGGCTGCAATGGAGACAAATGGCAGCCGACAC